AGTTTTTTGGTAAACAAGTTACTAAATCATAGAGAAAGAATTTCTCTATGATCCAATCCTCTAAAAGTATGGGGTGACTTACTTGAGACACACCCCCATTACCTAAAGTATAATAGGCAAACACCCCCGTATCACTGAATCAGCAATGGTCAGTAATCAGTAGTGAGTAGTCAGTAATCAGTAGTCAGTGATCAGTAATCAGTAGTCAGTAGTTAGATTCAACACAGAAGAAAAGTACAGGGCCGAGCTGACTCCACTCTAAAAGGGTTCTCTAACATCTGAAACCAGGAGTTTAGCTGATTGTAACCAACGTACAGTTTGTGTGAATAAAAGTTTGCAGTGAACTAAAAGGAACTGTGTCATACTACTCATTCAAAGTCACCAACAACTAACCGATATTCAACAATAAGTAAAGAGAAGTTAAGCATTTGCCTCAAATGAATGTTCAATAATGTTCAGTATAAATACATTCTTAATATTAGTTCCAACAAAATATTTAACAAACAATTTCATTTAGTTTCGTTATAGTATAGATGATTCTAACAGAGATTATCAACTGACTGCTAGATGGAAATATTTCCATCTAGCAGTCAGCTGATAAAAATGTTCCGAGTAAGTACTATGTTTCTTACTAGCTTTTACAAAAAAGAATATGTCAATCATATTAAAAAATACAGCAAGCACAACACAATGAACTTCCTAAATTTAGTTTTGTTATCATTCAAAACATCATTAAAAAATCATTTACTTTACTGTTTTCATTGTCAGTTGTCAAAAAAAAGTTAACACAACATTGCAGTATACATATTTATGGTTGTCAAAAAATGTTTTTTTTTTATACCAAACTGCAAAAATATTATAATGTTTTATGACATAAAATTGTCACATAGGTAAATTATTAATTGCCAGACAGATTCTTGTATATCCTACATAATTTTTCAAAACTTTTAAAGTACCTAATTTATTGGTGTACTAAAAATATTAATTTGCCTATCAAATAATGTTATCTGTCCCCCTCCCACCTCCCTGAACCTACCAGAGATTTATTCTGGTACCCTCATTGAGGCAGGGGTGGGGAAACCACCCCCTCTACTTTAATTTCTCCTTGTTCAGTGTCATTAGCAGCTAAACTTTTAGCAGAAACATGTAAAATTTGTTCACAATCATTAATGCTCTACAACAATGCATTCCACAACATCAGAAAATAAATCAGTTAAATTTGATTATAAATTTCTACAAAACAGTGCCATTATCTGTCATAATTGCTACTTCGACCCCTGTCAGTAATCTTCATGATGTCACAGGAGACATAGCAAAGGAAGATCCTGATTTCCACACTTATTATGACATCAACACATCTTCTGATGATGTAACTAATGGCTTCCTGGCTGCTATGACAGATTAACAGTTAAATCAAGATGAATATACTGATAATGGAGACCAAAGGTAAAGTCACAAACTCTTTGGTGTATATAAACAATACTGTACATTTATTGTCAAAACCAATGTACAAGAGTATAGAGGCTTTATTAGCTAAAAGTGTGCTATATACGTACACAGCCTAGCTCAGTCGGCTTGCTATAGTCACTGTGTGTGCGCTGAACCGTGGAGATCTCTAGGTCCCTGGTTCAATTCCCATCGCTGCCTCTCCTTGTGTTTCAGCTAGAGGGCTGAAATACAAGTTACAATAGCGCACCGTCTTTCAGATGAGACGTTTAAGCCGTTAGTCCCGTGTGCATTATGGTCCATGTGCACGTTAAAGAACGCAGTACACTCTTCGGAAAAGAGTAGGGGATTGTCTCCCGGTGTACTGCCCAATCACCACCAGAAGGACCCCACTGGAAATAAGTCTTCTTCTAGACTTTCGTGGGCTATCCTTGGTGTTTACACTGAATAAATCCAATCCAATCCAACTAATCCACCAAGAACTGGTGTCATATCGAACTAATGAATATTCATATACACAGTATATAGAGTGAACACAGCAGTCATACATATTGTTCTCTACCTCCCCCAGCCTTTATGCAACAAAGGCTATATACAGTTCAGGTTAAACGGTATCAATGCCATAGCAGATAGGCGGACGACGAATACGAGATAAACGTTGCGGACCATTATCACCTGAGCGCGGCGTAGTGTCAGTGCTAGTAGGTGGAGATGTGACAGACTGGGGTGTTCCATGGCTAACAGGTGGCGGAGGGGTGGTTGGTGTAGACAGATTAGGTAAGGTCACTAGCGGAGATCCTGGCGAAACCGTAGATCTGGAATCATTTTGATCATCTAGCGGCGGTGTATCAAGTGTAGACCAAACTGGGATAGGAGCATCCCCTAGTTTCGGTCCCCTGTCTCACAGGGAGGAAGCGGAGGTCATCAGTGATCATACGTCAGCACTATGGTTGGTATACCGGGATGTACTTTCTGAGGAAGCGTCTGTTACGTAGTAGTGTTATCCTACCAGAACCATCGACCCTCACCATGTATTGATCAAACTGACGCACCTCAATCACCGTGCCTGTCTTGTCCCACTTAGTGGGATGTTGGCCTGTTTGGTTTTGAATTCGAACGGAATCACCTACAGCCAAGGCCGGCAGCCGACGTGTATGCTGGAACCATACTCAGCAGACCTCATGTGGCGGTTTCGTAGTGCAATCTCACGATCTGCCATAGTGCTCCTCCACGTTGGGTGTGGTAAGTATTTACTGTGTAGAATTGGTATCATATCTTTAATCAGACAGCCAAAGACACACATGGCAGGGGAAGTTTTGGTTGCCGAGTCAGGTGTATTCCTGTACTGAAGGATCGCTCGTTGAAAAGCATTGTTGTCCAGTTGACCATGAGGACCGGTGTTGTTGGTGATCAGGCATTTAGCAGTCTTGACCCCCACCTCTGCTTTACAATTGGAGTGTGGAAAAGCAACTGACGACAAGCGGTGATGGACACCCCATTGTTTCAAGAAGTCTTGAGTGCTTCCTGAAGTGAATTCTGGGCCTCCGTCCGAAGAAAGTTCATCGCAAACACCAAAGGTCATAAAAACTTGACGTAGTGAAGTAATGAAACCATGGGCACCATCTGACGTTCTTTCGATAATCGGCCAATTGGAGTATTTATCAACGATAACCAGATAGCTATTACCCTTGTGGTGAAAAAAATCAGCACATATGCATTTGAACGGGTAGGTAGGATACATGGGTGGATAAGGTGGAGCTGCTGGTTGAGACGGTGTCATTCTGTTGCAATGGCTGCATCTTTCTCTATAAGCCTGTATATCTCTGGTAATGCCTGGCCAAAATAGTGATGATTCAGCGCGTGCAACCATTGAAGATACCCCTTGGTGTGCAGCATGGAGTGCCTTTAGGACCTCTTGACATAATCGAGGAGGTATAACGATGCGGTCTTTATATATGACAACGCCATAAATTGATCTCAAATCATCCCGGATGGGGAAGTATTCACGCAGTTGATTGGGAAGGTCATGACGTGACTGAGGCATTCCTAACTTAATGATGGTAAGTAAGTTGGCCATGGTGTCGTCACTATTAGTCTCAAGCTTAACTTTATCCCAGGTGATGCACTGGAAGCTATCCAGGGCCATAGCACAGAAAGCAAGTAGCTGTTGATCGACGCTCACACATGCGACATCAGCATCGTCTGCACATAGACAGAGGATTGGTGATGGAGAATCAGTGGAGTTAGTAGTAGTGTCTGCATCGTCAATAAGTTTCATTGGAACATGTTCTCTACAACTCGGATGACGAGAAATCGTGTCCACCGCTCAGTGACGTGCTCCAGGGATGTGCACCATTCAAAATGAATACCGAAGTGTCTTCTCTTTTAGGTTGTGTAATCTACCATTCGGGATGTCTTCCAATGATCTGTCTCCAAATATCTCTAATAGTGGCTCATGGTCAACAGCAACAGCGAGATCATGACAGCCTAGTACAAAATAACGGGCTTTCTCAAGATCATAAGCAACAGCCAGGGCCTCACCTTCAATGGGAGCATAACGTGACTCAGCTGAACTGGTGAACCGACTGCCAACAAGTGTGACTTTCCAGCCCGTATTACAGCAGAATGGGATGACGGATGAACATGTGCAATGTTTTTGAAGAAGTCAGAAACCAACACCAGTCTTAGACCAGTCCGTAGCTGGACATGTAGGTCGCATTTTGTCAAAAAATTTGAACACCCTCCTTGATTTCACTGACTATGATCGCTTTAGATTCCTCAATTAATTCTTGCAAACGATCATCCCATCAAAATGGCGTTCCAGGTTTTAGGAGTTGGCGGAATGGTAACATGCGATCAGCCACTGAAAATGCGTAGGCGACCTGGTTTACTAGACCAAACCATGACCGCATGTCAGAGATGTTCTGTGGGGTAGGAAAGTCGGTGATAGCATTCAAGTACTTCTGACATGGACGAAAAGCGTTAGGTGAGATTTCGAAACCGGCAAATTCAACCGTGCCTTGCCCGAAGACAAACTTGGTTGGGTTAAGCGTTATACCATTTTTGCTGCAGGTATCCAGCCATTTTGCTGTCTGGAAGAAGCTCTGCTCCAGGATGTCTGCCCACAAAAGCGCATCATCAACACACTTAGTTTTGTTTGGAAAATCTGATATGATTTCATCATACCTGCGTGTATACCCATCGCCTGATGCGATGTAGCCTTGTGGTGTAGTACAGTAGCGGTATCTTCCCCATGGGGTAATAAACGCTGTAAAGTGTCTATCTTCCTCTCGAAGGGGAATACTATGGTAACAGTTCCATGCATCAAACACAGTTTTCTTTTTGTGAGCAGGCACCAGACGAGCTTGATGGAACGGTGACTGTGTATGATGAGTTTCTCGTGTGGCATGTGCATTCAATGACTGCAAGTCTACTGTGCGTCTGGGCTTGCCATTTTTGTTTGCACACATAACCATGCGGTGACACCAAGTGACCGGTTCACCAACAGGAACAGGTTCAATAAGCCCAAGTCTAACATTTTTGTTGAGGCCAGCTTTGACCGCTTCCTGCCAATGAAGAGGAACAGGAACAGGTGTATGATAAGCCACAGGCTTTGCGTCCGGATCAATCATCAATTTCATGGGTGTCACCTTCATAAGAGGGTTGATAAGAGTGGTTGATGTTCACAAACATTGAATGTGCTGGATCCGTAATATTCCAGGAGAAAGTTTTCAAGGCGCTTCCGATTTTCCTCGGTGGCTTCACAAGGCAATTGCCTTGGTAAGGGTGGCGGTGCTCGCCTGACAAGGCCCTTGCATACTCGTGTGTCAAGCTCATGGACCGACAGATGTTCCTTCACAGTCTCTATTGGCTTTGGTGTTTCGCCTATTGTTGGAAAGGATTTGGAGATTATGCCAAGCGCCATACATGCCTCTCGACGAGAATAACTTATCTGAGCTGTCGGTTAAGTAAGTTATTTGCCTGTTAGTTAATATATCACCTGATGTATCTACGCCACTATATCAGAGAACTGCAGCACCAAGTATTTTAATTCCGACGTTATTGGCAGCTTTCATTTGCATAGACACCGGTATAAGGTCTTTTTGTTTCATTCCTAGCCGGCGAAGTATTCCGACACCTGCCAAACAACTTTGACACCTAGTATCAGCCATAACTGAGACCCTGACCTTTGGAGTGGCTTGCAAAAGGCGATATCCAAGTGCTTCATAATCTTCCGGGATAGCCTGTAGTGTTAGTTCAGTGAATGGGTGTGGTCCTGCAGGTATTCAAATCCAAGTGTCACTTAATTTGTGGTATAGATGATGGTCGAGTGTAATTATTATTGAGAAGGAGATCACTCCGGCATCCCTCGATTGGACAGCTTACAGCAGGCATTGTAGTACTCTTTGGTGTATATAAACAATACTGTACATTTATTGTCAAAACCAATGTACAAGAGTGTAGGCTTTATAAGCTGAAAGTGTGCTATATTAGTACGCAACTAATTCATCAAAAACTGGTGTCATATCGAACTAATGGATATTCATATACACAGTATATAGAGTGAACACAGCAGTCATACGTATTATTCTCTAAAAGGAAAGATATTCAACAAGAAAAATACTCCTGTGAAGAAATAGTTGGTTCCATGGAAAATATTACTTTTTTTTGCTTTTGTTCTTTTAAATTTTTTAAAATCCAAATTTATATAGCGCCTTTTACAATCCACAGATTTTACAAGCGATTAACAAAGCACTGGCGTCATTATTTCCCTGGTCACTGGATAATGAGTTGGCACATTGTACAACTTTCTCTGATCCCTGGGTTACCCCTGGTCATTGCTGGTTGAACACGCACAACCCATACATTCAATGCCATACCATCCTACCAGGTACCCATTTATACTCTTGGGTGGAGAGAGGCAAACGTAAGTAAAGTGCCTTGCCCAAGGACACAAGCAATGCGATGCGTTGGCCTCGAACTCCCGATATCACAATCAGAAGTCCAACACCCTACACACTGCGCCACAAGCTCCTACAACTGATTCTGATTATCCTGATAATGAGTGACATAATGAAATATTTGTACAACAATAATTGAGAGGTATAGAGTTTCAGGGGTGGATCCAGAAGTTTAGAAATGAGAGGGCACCAATTTCTTATACTGTAGGCCTAGGTGTACTATAGTTATACAGATAAATAAATATCAAATAATGTCGATTTGTGTTCAGTCTACTACAATTGTAAAATTTATTATTGTAGGCCATTTCGACCATTTGACTGCAGTTAAAAAACGCTTGCCCTCCCTAAATCTCTGCAGTTGGGATTTATATTTATATATTATATTCTATATGGATTTGAGGAGTAATGTAGTTTCCCTTTGTGAATCAATCATTTTTCTTATCTTACCTTATTTTAATCATATAAAAACTCAATTACTATATATACAGTATGTTTATCAAGACTGAAGTTTTTCATTCAACATGAATGATTTTTGCCACATAGTGAAAAAATAACTATTAATTGTAGCAATGAGCAAACAATCTTATCTCCCTTTTTTCCCTATATTAATGGTAGGTTTGTACAAACCTACCAAGTAATTAATTAAAGAGAAGTAAAGTTATGCCAGAAATAAATGTTCGTACCAATTACTTTTTTTAATGTTCTTATTATTGCTTATAGCATATAAAGCCCAGAAGAATAGAAATTGGCAAGCACTGCCCAGGCACCTGTTAAATGTACTGTACTGTTCTTATCATTTAAAACATAACATTTATGCTAATGGTTTCAGTGAATGTTTGTTTCTATGAAAGAGTAAATTTAAGTAAAGTTTATTCCCCTTAAAGTACATATTATGCTTTAAAGAAAGGCAATCTGTCTGTGCTACTGTAGAAATAAAATTATCAAACTTTTATTATAGAGGGTGCTACAGTAGTACTATTTTTATCTTATTAACCCAGCAAACACAAATGTTATTATAATGTTCTTAAACATTGTGGTTAGGCATGTCGGCAATGTTAATTAGTAGTGAGATTATGTTATAAATGCATGGTTCTACAAAAAAATGTTTGTATACCAAACCGCAAACAATATTATAATGTTGTAATGGAAATTGTTAGCTGGGAAAATAATTAATTGCCTGACAAATTTCTGAACACTGAATACAGTACATTGTAATCAGAGGTACTTTTGTGATTTCATTTGCTGGATTTAGAGGAAGACTTTGCTGGTTTTATTATTGAAAAATGGCTGTGCATATAATTACCCTACTTGCGCGAATAAGCGCCCGGGCGCTTAAAATATTTTTTTGCACTTTTTGAGGGGCGCTTATTCAAATGGGGTGCTTATTTAAATGGGGCACTTATTAAAACAGAGTGGAAATTGAGGGGGCACTTATGGAAATAGATGAAAATCGAGGGGTTCTTATGGGAAATTATTAAATTCAAGATGCACTTTTTGAATGAAAAAAGATTATATAAGGACATTTATGAATAGTGGTTAGGCGGAAAAGATAATTGTCCAGAGAACAAGACAAGAATGTGTGAAATTTACATAACAGCATAATAGCAGATGCAATTAGGGGTGGTGGGTAGTGGTTAGCATGTTGGTCATCAGCCGATTGAGATTATCAGGATGGCAGGAACATTGTATTTTTTCTTGAAAACTTAGATGAGAATGTGCTAAAGGTCGGAAAAAGAAAAAGAAGAGTAGGACTAGGCATAGACAAATATGTAAAAAGAGTAAGGTTGGAAATATACTGTCTGTCCAGGGATCAGAGCTCTCATCTGTCTCTTGATAGTTTTACTATTTACAATACTGTACATGTCTCACGCTTCACCCTTCAAATTCATAGATAGTGGGCATATGGTTCAGGAATGGCACACCAGCCACAAAAATTAATTGATATACCAAAGAGCTATAAAACCTCCTTGGATTTTCCTACAATAAATATGAGAATACTGGTCAACCTACAGAAATTTTTGGGGGGAATATTTTTAGGGGAAAAAACAAAAAAATCCTGGTATTACAGAATTCTAACCCACTAAAGTGCACAACATATGCTCTTAAAGCAAATCTCTACCATAAAGGAATAATTGGCATAATTTGAATTATAGAGGGTGCTATTACAATATTTTTCACTTTCAGTTTCATTTAATTATAAATTGGTTACTTTACAATCACAGAGAGGGCACTATTCAAACTGAAAATGAGTTGAATATTTGTGCACCCCATAAGATATGTAGGAATTGATTACTGGTAGCAGACTTAAAACTAATTT